CGAAAACAACGGAAATTCTGCAGATCGGCATCGAGATGAGGCGATGCCAATTATAGTGATCGGGACATGTTCCAGGCTGGTAAAATACGGAATCCCCAAATGCCCCGCCTCTTTCCCCATGGCCGGCTTGACATCCCGAGCGGTTGTTTGACGGCGCTGGCGGAGCCCGGAACCGGCCAGCGGGCCCCGAGACCCGAACGCAAGTTGTTTCCTGCGGCAAAACACCCCCGACAACTTTAATCATGGGCCGGAGAGACAGGGGCATGAACGAAGATACCTAGAATGGCCACGCTGTGTAATACAAAAACTGATGTGGAAACTAAAGAGGGTATAGGGATGTAGGACTAAGGATATCGGGACTTCGGGATAACGTAAGGGATCCTGATGTTCGAGAGAGCGTGATCCACCACCGTTTTACTGCCCAGCAGCACTCGAAAATGGCGACGGTTTCACAGATCGCAGCCCCCTGAGGGATGGCGAGGTCTCCTGGTGGTCCGCGTAAGACGTCGCTCCGCTGGACCCCACAGCAGCCCTCGACAGTGGCGACGGTTTCGCAGATCGCAGCCCCCCGAGGGATGGCGAGGTCTAGTGGCCTCGTCCGGATCTGGGTACAACGTCACTCCGCTGGACCCCCCGGCAGCTCTCGAAAGTGGCGACAGTCTCGCAGATCGCAGCCCCACTGGGAAGGCGAGGTTACACGATAATCTGGGTAAGACGTCACTCCGCTGCACCCCCCAGCAGACAGGGATGGCGAGGTCTCACCTGAGTCTGGGTGAGACGTCGCTCCGCTGGACCACACAGCAGCCCTCGAAAGTGGCGACAGTTTCGCGGATCGCAGCCTCACAGGGATGGCGAGGTCTCGTCTGGTGGTCTGGGTAATACGTCACTCCGCTGAACCTCCCAGCAGCCCTCGAAAGTGGCAACAGTCTGGCAAATCGCAGCCCCCCGAAGGATGGCGAGGTCTAGTGGTGGTCCGCGAAAGACGTCGCTCCGCTATACCACACAGCAGCCCTCGAAAGTGGCACCAGTTTCACAGATCGCAGCCCTACATGGGTGGCGAGGTTTCACCATAATCAGGGTAAGACGTCATTCCGCTGCACCCCCCAGCAGGCCTCGAAAATGGCGACGGTTTCGCAGATCGCAGCCCAACAAGGATGGCGAGGTCTCACCTGAATCTGGGTAAAACGTCACTCCACTGGACCCCCCGGCAACTCTCGAAAGTGGCGACAGTTTCGCGGATCGCAACCCAACAAGGATGGCGAGGTCTCGTCTGGTGGTCTGGGTAATACGTCACTCCGCTGAACCTCCCAGCAGCCCTTGAAAGTGGCGACAGTCTCGCAAATCGCAGCCCACCGAGGGATGGCGAGGTCGAGTGGTGGTCCGCGAAAGACGTCGCTCCGCTGGACCACACAGCAGCCCTCGAAAGTGGCACCAATTTCACAGATCGCAGCCTTACATAAATGGCGACCAGAATCTGGGTAATTAAGACGTCACTCCGCTGTACCCCCCCCAGCAGGCCTCGAAAATGGCGCTTTCGCAGATCGCAGCCCAACAGGGATGGCGAGGTCTCACCTGAGTCTGGGTAAGACGTCACTCCGCTGGACCCCCCAACAGCTCTCGAAAGTGGCGAGGGTTTCACAGATCGCAGCCCCACAGGGATGGCGAGGTCTCGTCTGGTGGTCTGGGTAACACGTCACTCCGCTGAACCCCCCAGCAGCCCTCGAAATTGGCGACATTGTCGCAGATCGCAGCCCCCCGAGGGATGGCGAGGTCTAGTGGTGGTCAGCGTAACACGTCGCTCCGCTGGTCCCCACGGCAGCCGTCGAAAGTGGCACCATCTTCGCAGATCGCAGCCCCACAGGGATGGCGGGGTCTCCTGGTGGTCTGGGTAAGACGTCATTCCGCTGCATCTCCCAGTAGCCCTCGAAAATGGCGACGGTCTCGCAGATCGCAGCCCCACAAGGATGGCGAGGTCTCCTGGTCTGGGTAAGACGTCACTCCGCTGCACGTCCCAACAGCTCTCGAAAGTGGCGTCAATTTCGCAGATCGCAGCCCCACAGGAATGGCCAGGTAAGAGGCAAGCTGGCACGCAGGATGGAGCGATTTGAGAGGCAGGAGAGAAGAGGAGAGGAGGGGGGCGGGAGATGGGGAAGACGCGCGGGCAATCTTCTAGTCATAACGAGTACCCAGTGCCAGAGAGTTAGGAAACAAATGCCTCCGAGACGCCCCCAAGACAACTCCCACGAGGCCCCATTAACCATTCGAGTGGCCTCAGACCCGTAACCCAAGCACGGTGGCGGGATGTGCTGAAAGCCGTTCGATAATCATTCGTCCCCTGGGCCTCCAGCGCGTCCCGCCAGCCACCCGGAAAGGTGCCCAATTGCACAATTTGTCCTCCAAGACGGCTCAAGATGGCCTCAATGATGGCCACGTTGGCCCAAGATGGCCTCCCAGTCCGCCCAAGAGAGGAGGAGATGCCTCCAAGTCCGCCCAAGAAACCTTCAAGACGGCCCAAGACGGCCCAAGCGGTGCCCAAGAGGCCTCCAAGACGGCCCGAGAGGCCTCCAAGAGGTCCTCCAGGAGGGCCCGAAGAGGCCACAATTATCAATTGTCCTTAGGTTTTTCAAGGTTTGTCGTGTTTGCTTCTGTTCGGCTTTCCGACGACCCAAGACGGCCCAAGAGGCCCCCAAGATCGCCCCCATAGAGCCCAAGAGGCCTCCAAGCTGCCCAAGATGGCCTCTAAGACGGCCCTGGAACACCCCAAGAGGGCCCCAAGTCGACCCGGAGAGGCCCCCCAAACGGCTTCCGACGGCGTCGGACGGGCCAGGAGCCCACCAAGATGGCCGACGCTGGCTCGAAGCTGGCTCAAGACGGCCCAAGAGGCCTCCAAGAGGGCCTCCAGGAAGGCCAGAAAATACCCCAAACACTGATGTTCCCAAGTTTTTTGAAGGATTTTGACATTTGCATCTTTTCGGCCTTCCGACGGCCCGAGACAACCCAAGAGCCCCAAAGAACGCCTAAAGATCGCCCAAGAGGCCTCCAAGATGGCCTGAGAACGGTCCAAGATGCCCCCAAGACGGCCCAGGAGGCTTTTGAGACACCCAAGATGTCCTCCAAGACGGCCCTGGAGCATTCCAAGAGGGCCCCAAGTCGGCCCAGAGAGGCCCCCCAAACGGCTTCCGACGGCGTCGGACGGGCCAGGAGCCCACCAAAACGGCCGAAGATGGCCATCAGATGGCCCAACCAAGAGGCCCCCAAGACGGCCCAGGAGGCTTTTGAGACACCCAAGATGGCCTCCAAGCCGGTCCTGGAACATTCCAAGAGGGCCCCAAGTCGGCCCAGAGGGGCCCCCCAAACGGCTGCCGACGGCGGCGTCGGACGGGCCAGGAGCCCACCAAAACTGCCGAAGATGGCCATAAGATGGCCCAAGACGGCCCAAGAGGCTCCCAAGAGGGCCTCCAGGAAGGGCCGAACAGGGCAACATCAGTGATTTCCCATAAGTTTTTGAAGGATTGTGGCATTTGCTTTTGTCGGCCTTCCGACGGCCCGAGACGGCCGGCCTATGTGCCCCCAAAGATCGCCCAAGAAGACCAAGACGGCCCCAAGAGGCCCCCAAGACGGCCCAAGAGGCCCCCAAGACGCTCAAGCTGGCCTCCAAGACGGCCCAAGAGCCCTCCAAGACGTCCTCCAATCAGAAGGCCCGAAAGGGTCAAAATGGTGTCCACACGGCCAAGATGACCTTCAAGCTGCCCACATGTTCCCCTAAGGCTTTCCAAGCCGATTCGGGGAACACATGGTCCGATAGCTTGGCAGATCTGGCCTCAACGTTCGGCCACTAGGCGCTTCCAAAAAGGCAGGGGGCGGCGGCGATTCGCCGTAGGCGTCTTCGATAATCATTCGTCGAGTGTTTTGACAGATGCCCTCCGTCTGTAGTATACGTGGCTTTTCGCCCAATTCCCCATGCGTGCACGGCGAATGCTGGGGATGTCAGCCCGAGAGGCCCCGAAAAGGCCCCCAAGAGGCCCCCATGAAGCCCCAACAGAGCTCCAAGAAGCCCCCCAAAGGCGCACAGAAGGCTCTCAGGAACAACACGCAACAACCGCCAGTTCCCCAAGGGGTCGGCAATGTAGCGTAAGCCCAAGACTCCATGTCCGGAAGAGACGTGTTGCCGGAGGCAGGTCCCAGATGCTGTAACGCAGCGTGTCCAATCTATCCACAGATTGCATACTTGCTACATTATGTATTCTATCATATTGATATGTCTCCCCCCCTACCCCCCCCTTGGAGTCGCGCTAAATGTCCGTACCGAAGTGGCGGCCCCTTCTGGAGCCCTACAAACGTACAAAAACCTATGGAAAATCAATGATTCAGGCTCCTGGGGCTTCTTGGGGGTCCAAGAGTGCGTCAAGACAGCTCAAGATGGCCTCAAGAGGGGCGAAGACGACCCCAAGACGGTCCAAGATGGCTCCAAAAGGGGCGCAAAACGCCCCCAAGAAGGCCCTGGAGGGCCCCAAGAGGACTCCCAAGAACGCCTCCCGAGGCCGAAATCATTTGTTTCCTACGGATTTTAGTGTTCTCGGCTTTTTCTATCCTCAGAGGTTCATGACGGGCCAAGCAGCCTTCAAAATGGTCACTGGACGGCCCCAAGAGGCCTCCAAGAGGACCCCAAGACGGCCCAAAGAGGACCCCAGGACGGCCCAAAGAGGACCCCAGGACGGCCCAAGAGGACCCAAGAGAGCCCTAAGGCGGCCGCGAGAGGCCCACAGGACAGCCTCCGAAGGAGCCAAACGGCGAAAGAGCGTCCCAAGACGGCCCAAGACGCCCGCAAGAGGCCCCAAGAGGCCGAGGCCCCAAGAAGCCGCCCACAAGAGGCCTCCAAGAGACTCGAAAGACGCTCCCACCAGGCCCCACAACGTCTGGACGGCACGTGCTCTGGACGTGCAGCCCGCGAAGCGAAAGGAGTCCAATCGTCGGAGATCTGGGCTCGAAGCCCTGGGGTCAACCCCGTCGTCCGGCCCGAGCTGCGCGGCCAGCGCCGCGGCGTCACCGGCGGGCCAGCAGCCACGCAGGGCGCGCAGGCAGCGGGCCCGGGTGTCGAGCGCGGCGGCGAGCTTGCCGTGGCCGCCCTCCTGCAGAGCACCGTCCCAACCGGGCACGGTCGAAGATCGAGGATTTGTTTGTTGGGTGCGTACCGCTGCCTGGACCACACCACCCAGTCCACACACCTGCCCACGCCAAGAGTCACTTCGCCTTATCGTGTCCTGGCCTAGCGCTTCACGACGGCGCCGTCGCTTCGCCGCTGTTGGAAAACTGTGTGTGTTTTGCCTCCTTCGGCTGCGTTTCGGCTCTGCCACGGTTCAGCTGGTTTCGGGCCTAGGCGCGGCGCCGACGCGCGTCTTCTTGGCCTTCGTCTCCGCGCCACTTCGCAAAAAACCTAATTCGTGGTTGGTGTGCTCCGTAAACATGCTTCCGTGGTTTGAGCTCAACCGCGCACTGGCAAGAACAAGTGTGTGTGTGTGTGTGGGTGTGTGTGTGTGTGTGCGTGGGTGTGCGCGTTGCTCGCTTCTTTGGGGCGTCCTGGGGCACCCTTTCGTGGCCACGGCCGGACTCCCCTCAAATTCCTGGACAAAACGCGCCAGTGAAGAGATCCAGTGTACGATCGGTCATGGCGATGTCAGATCCCATCGAAGAAACGCCACCGATGAATCAGAACATGATCGTCCCACGAACAAATACATGGATTTAGAAATGTGAGGGCACGGTTTCGTTGTCAAAACACTTGGCCGGGCGACAAACAATTACAATGCTGAAAATTTCGATCGTGATGCACCGTGCCAAGGACTGCGCTGTGCTGTGCTGTGAGGAAATCAAATGTGCCATGCCGCGATGGATTGCGTTGTGCTCGAAACTGTTGTGGGTCAGCTCGCCTTTGGTATTTTAACCTTGGCCGGACTGTTCTGGATCTTAAGCTCGAGCCGTCTGAACGCAAAGTTGGCCCAGAACCGGTTGCACTCGAAACGTGTGGGGCGTCGAATCAACTCGAGACAACACGGGGCGCAAGGCGCATGGACGCGCCACGGAATGCGCCAAGGGCGCACTTGAGGATCCGCCAAAAAGGACGTGTCATGAGACGTGGCAAGGGACGCGTCACGGAACGGGCTGGGAAAACACTGGGGGGCAAGCCGAGGAACGCGACAGAGGACGAGCCAAGGAGCGCGCCAAAAGGGGGAACCCCTGCGTTTTCACACATGTCCCGCTCTGGGACGTTAGGAACCCAAATGTTCTTACGTGTCCAGGTCACCAAAGAACGGATATCTTACACGCGGCTGTGAAAACAGAAACTTCCAGCTCTGGGCCGCAATGGTAGATAACTGCCGTGGGTGGCCAAGACGCGTAAAATCGTGGTTCCACCTCTGGACCACCATGTTAGAACCACCCCTGGGTGGCATGGGCAAGTAAAACCACGTGGCTCAAATTCGACACAACCATGCTACTTACCGCCCTGGGCGGCTTGGATACGTAAAAACACATGTTAGACCACCTGGGTGGCCTGGACACGTGAAAACAACTGGCACCAGCCCGGGACCCCAGTGGGACATTTTGATAAGTGAGGCACGCGTGCACTTAACGAGAGAGGAGGAGGCGGGGAGCGGCAGAGAGAGGGGGGGAAGAGAAGGGGCCCACTTTTTGGCAAAGCGGCGAAGCGTGCCGAGCCGCTCTCGGCCCGCGCGCGCTCGCGGCCGCCAGGCTTGGAGGCGAACGCCGCGAGTGCTGACGGAGCGGTGGCGGGGTGGGCGGGCGCCCGATCTGGAGCCCTTGACCACAAGAACCAAAATGCCAAAAGTCTCTCCTTCCTACACTTAACCTGCAGTATACATACACATCAGACTATGCAAGTTAAGCGACGCACGCGCGCACTTAACGGGAGAGGAGGAGGGGGGGAGCGGCAGGGGGGTGAGAGGAGGGGCGCACTTTCTGGCTAAGCGGCGAGGCGTGCCGAGTCGCTCTCGGCCCGCGCGCGCGCCCTGGCGCGCTTGCGGCCGCCCGGCCACGGGAGAAACCGCAGCCTGCGGAGCGCGAGGGCGAGCGGCGCTCCGCGCGGCCACATGCCCCATCCTGGGGCCTTCCTGGGCGCGGCGCCAGGCCGCCCTGGCTGGGCCCCCCCCGCAGCTGCGCGCGGCAACCGCCCAGGTCGCCCCGCCGGCCGCGCCCGCGAGGGCGCAGGCGCGCATCGCACTGGGCGATGATGAGAGAAGACCGCCACGACCTCGGAGCGACGGGTCGCCAGCGACCTCCCCGCCAGCGACATCCGCATGGCTGGGGAGAGCCTCCCGCATTTGGGGCCGTCCCCGGCGGCCTGCAAGCGCTCGGCCCCGGACAAATCGACGCTCTGGAAGCGCCTGGGCGCGTCCGCCCCGGCGCGCGTCGGGGGCGCCCCAGGGTCATCCTCCCATAATTACAAGACCAAGCTGTCGCCGCAGCTGGCTGACTGTCCAGCGACAGCAAGGGCCCCTGAAGACCTTGGCCCGCGCGGCACGCAGCCGCGGGGCCCACTCCTGGGCTTCCTCGGTGCGCTTGATCTCAGTACCTGGCGCAGAATCCTTCAGCTCGGTGGGGCGGTGGTCGCGCGGGCACCTACGCGCGAGCAGCGGGGCATGGAGGTGCAGCCTCGGGCTGACCACCCCCCAACTGCCCTCGCGACAACGGCTCGTCGGGTCGTCCGACGGAGCCTTGCCGCAAGCGCGCGTATGGGCCGGGGCGATCACAGCGCCCGTGGCGCGCCGCAACTCCAACGTCGACTTCTGGCCCCAGATCTTCGGGCAGCGGCCCGAGGGCCACGCTGGCGAGGCAAGTGTCGCGAGTAAACTGCGTGCGCGCATTGCCCGCGACCTCGAACTCCTTGGGCCCGTCTCCCTCGGGGCGGCCCCGAATGCGCGTGCCCTGAGGTGCCGCGCCCGGCTGGGCCGCGGGCCCATAGTCGGCGCAAGAGCCGCAGGGCGTACCCCGGCGCCAAACGTCGATCGGCCTCGTCAGGGCCGAAGGGGGTGCGCGCTGCCTCCTGGACTCGCGCCTGCGCCCGCGGGTCGCGCAGGTCGTGCTGTAGCCGCGGGCCCGTCTTGCGCAGGGGGCGCCCATGGTACTCGATTGGGCCCATCACGCAGAAGCCTCCGGCCCTACGCGCGGCCGACCAGTTCCCGGACCCTGCGTTCGCCTCTTGCGCGATCAGCCCGCGCGCGAACACGGGGTCGAACTGCAGCGGTCGGGCGTTGGAGGCGCGCCTGGACATCTGCTGGATGTGCCCCGAACGACGCGGGCGCGTGCCCAACCGTGCGGCCCGCGCGGCCTGCCGCCTCCTCGCAATGCGCGCAAGGAGCGCTCTTCCTTGACATCGAAATGTCGACGTCGCTGCTCGGTCGCCGGGCTGTGGTTCAGGTCTTTCCCATTTGAGTCCGTGTAGCGCGCTGCCAACGTGCATGTGATATGCGTATCTCGCGTCGTATCTGCGATGCATCGTCGGTTCGTAGTATGCGCAAGCTCTGAGTGGCGTCGAAGCTGGTCCACTCCTTTGGTGCGTGGCCCGTTGCCGCTTCCATGACTCGTGGTTGTGGTCGAAAAGTCTTCGCGGCCCGGGGCGCTGCCGGGTCAGGCGGCGGCGGCGGCTCGCCGTCGCCGATGAGGTCGTCGCGCGTAAGTGCTGGTGATGCTGGGTCGTCGATGGGGCCGATCAGGAGGCGGTTGCCGACGCCCGCGCGCGGCGGCGCCAGCGGGGCGAGGGCGCCGAGCAGCCGGTGCGCGACGACCACTGGGCAGAAGTCCACAGGACCATCGCCAGTGACTGCATCAACCACCGCTGCGGCAGCACCGCCGCCGCGCCGACAAACGAACGGGCCATCCAGGGCACGTCGAGGACGGCGTCGTCTGTCCGAGTCCGCGCGCGGCAGCGCCGCCAGCGCGGGGGGGGCGGAGAGTCGGCGCCCGCCTGGCACGAGCCGCGGCGCGCGACGATCGCCAGGCAGTGGAGCCGCGGGGCCATCGCCAATGACGACGCCGCCGTCGCGCCGTCAAACGAGCCTGCCATCCAAAGCGTGTCGACGACGGGGCGGCTGCTCATTTCCGCGCGCGGCGGCGCCGCCGGCGCGGGGGCGCCAAGTTGTGAAGGGTAGGCCCAAGGGCCTCTCCCTCCGCTCATGGGGGTCCCCCGCGGACGCCCAAGAGGCCGACTGTGGGGCCCCGTCGCCTGCGCGCGGGTGTAGAATTCCCGGCGGGTCGGCCTTGGGCCGCCTTGGGGGCCTCCACCGAGCGCGAAGGCGGGTCGCGCCCTCGCCCGTCGGCGGCGCGTCGGCGGCGCCGGCCGCGCTCGCCAGAGGCGGGTGGCAGAAGGCCCCGCCTCCTGCGCACGGGAAGCTTCCTTGCGCAGCCGCCCCCCATGACTGGTGCGCTCTCGTGCCGAGGCAGGAGTGGGATGCCCAGACCGCGGGGGTATAGTGGCTGCTTCGGGGGGCCCCGCCGAGCTTGGAAGTTGTTTCTGCCGTCCGCGGCGCCGGCTTGCGCGATTATAATTGGAACTTGGCGCTGCTGCGGCAGGCGTTTTATTGTAGCAAGACCGCCGCTGCAGCTGAAGGCGCAGGGGGGGGAGGGAGCACCCGCATATGGCCGCGCCAGATGAGGGGCGGGATGGCCCGGTCCTCGGCGCCGCTCCCGGCGCCCATGAGGTGGTCGAGACCAAGGCGCCCGCTGCCGTTAACCCGATGCACCTGGAGCGTAGCTCCCTCCAGGTCGGGCAGCGGGCATGCTGCCAGGCACCTGTTGTCCTTGTCGTGGTGGGGGCGCGCGGCGTCGTGCACGCAGGAGCGCGCGTCCGCTTCGGTGGTCGTCACCCACGGGAGGGCTTCACCGAGCGCGCGGATCGCCTCGTGGGATTTCTCCCACAGCGCGCGTCGGCACTCCACGGCCAGCTGGTGCACCTCGTCAGGGCTAGGCCCACCATTGGTCCCGCCCGCTGGCGGCGGCTGGCCCCCGCGCTGGCCTGGCTCCGTGCCGGCTCGGCCTCCGCGCGCCAACAAGACCCCGGCTGCCGCGTGAAGCAGCCGACGCTGGCGCTCCTCTGGGTCTCCGACCTCTATGCCGA